TTTTATCGGAGGAAATTTGGGAACTTCTGAAGGTTCATACGGCGTTTTTCCTCAGCTCGGCAGAAGAGAGCCAAGCGCGAGCGGGCATCGGCCCGGGCCGGGAGTAGCATGACTCCGCGGCTTCGCTACACATACTCATCGGACGAGCCGTCACGGTTGCCGGTTGTTTAAAAAAAACCTTAATTTTTGTTAACTTCACGGTGGATTCGAGGGATTTCGGTGGCGACCCGGCAACGGGGTGGCAATCCGCGAGCACGCAGAACCACCAGCCACCACGTTGGCCTTGAGTCATGGAAATAACTCGTCACCTGCCGTTGGCCTAGAGTCTAGAGCTTTTTTTTCGCAGTCTCGTCCTTCGTGCCTCGCATTTTCCGCCTTCGGGCATCCCAGGGACAAAGAGAGATCCTCTCCTGGTGGCTCGGTGGTGATGGTGGCTTTTACTTTCGGGACTCCAACGTTCAACCGTTGACTTGGATCTTTGTTGGCTGGTGAGCGACGTGGCGAACCCAGAGACGAGGGAGACCGCACATTGGTACCTTTGCGAGGGGCGAAGCTTATGCAGGGTGTCTACAAGCACTGATTTTTAAAGGACGGTCCGGGAGTACTGGAAAAGTGCGGAAATTCCGCAGGAAGGTCCGGAATTTTCGTCATTTTTGTCGAAATTTGAGCGAGAAATTTAAATTCTGGACATTTTTCGAATTCGGTTTAATGAAGGCACTAAACAATTACTGAATGTTTCTGTTGAGGAGGTACTGAATTTCTTGGGAATGTACTGAAAAAATACTATTAAAGTACTGATGTTTGGTCAACCTATTTAAGTAGACTTGGAGGCGCTCCCGCTTTAAAAAGACTAGCCTGAGTTGACTGTAGCGCCTTGATGCAACTATTCGTGTTCTATGGATGTGCGTGTTGCATATTCAAAAATTGAAGGCACTTTCGCTTCACTCACTGCTGCAGCAATGCACAGGACTCGTCAGTTACTCTGGCTGAGTAGGAAAAAGGGAGAGTATTACCAGTAAGCGACACGACGTCAGAGTATCTAAGGTCATTAATTGATTCAGTCAGTCTTAAAAAGACTCAAGTGTCAGAGATGAAAACACGAGAAAACGTCCAAAACTGTAAAAATTGAGTCGTTTTTAATCGTACATTATATTATACAAAATATACTTAGTACAATCAATTGCTTCAACAACTAAGAGCTTTGAACTTTAGAACAGGTCGATCAAAATGTTCTTTTACTGTTTTTCCTGTACTGTAATTTCTTGCGCCTAAGTCTGAACCTAAAGTGACCGATTCAAATCGGTGAATATCTCGACCTGCACTACACCAAGTCGGTCGCGGCGCCGTGATACGACTATTCGTGTTCTACGGATGTGCGTGTTGCGTGCTCGAAATTGAAGGCACTTTCTCTTTTTTCTCGTTTGAGAATTGCGCGTGAGTTATCGTTAATGATTCGCAAGTCGATCGCGGCGCCTTGATGCAACTATTCATGTTCTACGGATGTGCGTGTTGCATGCTCAAAATTGAAGGCACTTCCTCGTTAGAGAATTGCACGTGAGTCGTCGTTAGCTATACGCAAGAGAAAAGTGGGCAACGTGACTTACAGTTAGGCTCGTTCCGATGGTTAAATCCATCCAAATGATCATCGAGGGAAAACTCGGGAGAGGTAAACGTGCCGAGGTCTGGGACGAATCTTGCAAAAAATTCCGAGCATGATACGCGAGCACTCGGAGATTTCCTCCGGGACCAACTGTCTACTCTGCCGTGCTAAGGTGAAACGGCGTATGCGCCTTCAGACGTTGCCACATTTCCTTCGAAAAAACGAATTTACTGGAAAATTTTTGAATATTTTTCCTCCAATTTTTCAGGCAATGTTGTCCACAATTCAATCTAAAATATCTGGAAATCTCAAATAAAAATATGCACGACTTTCCTCTGAAGTAACTATTTTGTCGGTAGAACTTTGGCAATTTTTTGAATGCTCGTAGGACGTTTTTCTCAGTATTCTGCTGAGGAAGAACCTCGTATATCCAACTGAAAGCGGATGTACATCTGCGGTTCTTTCGAAGCACGACAGCCGGGAGGGCAGTAAATTTTTAAGGCACGAAAACGAGGTCGAGTTAGCCTTGCCTCTTGCGGGACAATGGCAGCCCATCATAGGCGAGTTGGAGTGAAAAATGGCACAGGCTCCTGTCAACGGTCGAACCCTTTCACTGCATGAGCCAACGTGAGCGATAAAAACGCGCCTGGCCTGGTCGTATCGATTATTCGATATCGTTGCCACTCTGACGTAAGAGCGTATCTCGATTTTCGCATGAGCCCTGTCTTGCGTATAAATCCAAGCTTTCTGGGGTTCATACGGAAATCGAGATACGCCCCTCCACCAGACGAGCGACGATATGAATCTGTAAGGGAGCCGCTCTACCGTGTCAAGGAAAAAACCGATATTGAGAAACTCACTTGAATTTTTCATTGAACTTGAGCGGGAAAGAGGAAATGCATCTACTGCTCATCCTCCCTCGCCCGATTCGATGAAATTTTCGTGAAACACCAGTGCTCCCATTTCCCGGAACTAATTCCGAATTCCGGAACTTATGAGACTTTTCTGAATTTTTACTGGAACTTTTGAAACTCCCGAAATGTTCCGGATCTTTTGCATTTTCCGGAAACTCGGAACTTTTGAAAAATTCTAAAAGGAATCCCGGAACTCTTGACGATCACGGAGTTGAGGAAATTCGAACGAAAAAGTTTCGAATCCCGGAACTTTTGACGCACATGAAGAGCACTGTGAAACACTGTCAAATTAAGCATGAGACTTCGTCGTAATTTTATCAGAACGCTTTGAATTATTTCGTTTTTTAAATGCAAGTGAAATAGAGGTTTTAATTTAAGCGTAACTGTGCCTCTATTTTGCATGGCAAAGCGGTCAAATTTTTCCGCCGAACTGCATGACGTCATGGCTAATCCCTCGAGTAACATCTTAATTTCAGCTCGGCAGGGAAGCGATCCGTCGAATGCGCTGATGCGCCGCGCGCCGCAACGGAGAACGCTCGGCTGAGCGCTCGTAAAACTGCCGTGCTTAGTAAAAACGACGTAAGATCATTCGAGCGTTGCCAAATTTCCTCTCAGAAAATATTCATGTCCGAAGAAAGTTCTGAACATTTTTCCCTGAAATTTTCAGCCTTTTCAGATCAAACGAAGAAAATCCTCTGAAAAATCGGCGAAGAAACATTCACAAATTTTCATTAAAATTCGTGATTTATCGAAGGAAATTTGGCAACCACTGATGGCTTATACGTCGTTCTTACTTAGCGCAGCAGAATAGAGGATCGCCCGTCATTTTTGCCCCCTCGTAAAAGCGGGCCAATGACCGTAATTACACAGCGCCAAAAACCAAGCTCTTTGATTTACCACTCTGCATATCCCCCTCCCCCCTCCTTTCCTCTCGGGCCTGCTACTGTGTTATGCTGAATTTTTGCTCCGGATTCGAGAAGCGCGTGTCTTCTTCGCGCATGGCAGCATCACGTCGCACAATGGAGCGAGTCAATAGGAGTAGTCGGACAATATCTGGAAACTTTGAAAGCTTACATTTTTGGAAATACGAAACAAAAAAGTTGAAATATGGTTTCATTTGTTTCTTCGTGAAATTTCCCTTCAGAAACACCCATTGAAATTGAACTTGTGACGAAATTAACATTAAAATTTGATATTTTAGCCAAAAATTTCATGTCTGACCTCCTCTATCAGCTCGTTCCAATGTGCGTCGGCCAGCGTTAACGTTTTCCGCCTCGATGATATTCGAAGCTCGTGCTTTTCGCTATTATTGTAGAGAAGATAGGATGACCTTTCTGGTCTATTATATACTCTCACCAAAATTTTCAAATGCCTCAGACCTTTGGGTTGGTAGACAGTTCAGGGCTTAACTTTTCCCTGTCTTCGCAAAACTATGATGATTTCTGAATTTTGTTTCTTTCGTCCGCAACCTCGCGTGTTTCCACCAACCTGAGTCGCAGACCAGAGTTTTCGGCGGACTAGAAAACTGGAACAGTCAGGGGGATTCGAAGATTCTATGGCAATCTGGAAGAGTCAGGAAAATGGTAATTCTCGGTCAAAGTTTGGCAAAAGTATAAGTTAAAAGGAAAAAAACATTTTATTAGAATTCTTAATCAAATACTGTAGCAAAAGTCTGGGAATTCGAAAATTCTTTAGTCGGGGAAGGAAAAGTCAGGGAATAGGAAAATTAAGTTATTATGGAAACTCAGGCCCAGGACTATTTATTCACCTCAATATTTTGAGGTGCACTGAAAGTAAATAAAGATGGCGTATGCCAACAGATTTTGCTGCAATGTTGGTTTCGTGTTAATTTTTTCCCAGCAGAATAGTGAAACCACTGCGCCTAGAAATATTACTGCATGTATGAATGTGCATGTGTGTGTCTGCGCTTCTTTATTTATGTTTTCTCGGAGAGGGAAGTAGATTTTAGCCGGGAGTTTGCCCGGTTTAGGGACAGTTTCCTTGGTAATAATCCCTCTTGTGTGATCGGATTCATAAGGAACGTCCCACGCATCTTTACTGTTAAAAATTTTTTTCTGATACATCCGCGGAATTCGCAGTACTACTTCGCAGTAAGGAACCACGATTTTTTGCTCATTTTAGAAACAACGTATGTGCCATTAGTTTCTCTACGCAGATATGTTGTGCTTTTACCGATGGGTCGGAAATGTTAGTTCCTTACTGCAAACTGCCGTCCAATTTGTCGCAAAGCGAAATTCAGTGCGGAAAATTTTCATCGGACTTTCTCAGCAATCCAAACGGAGATCGTCCCCAACGAATAAAACAAGGGCTGAAAGTTTCGAAGCACTATCGCGGAGATCCGTTCTGACATTGTTTCAGGGTTTCGTCATTGAGTGTGTTGTTTGCAAGTGTGTGTTAGTTATTCCGAGTGTTGTCCTATCACTCTGCCAGCTTTGTTACTCAAAATGGGTTTTTGTTTGTTGCAGGGGTGCTGGAGATGGCGGCAGCCACCGAGAGCACAATCCGATTCAGCGGGCACACGCTCGATAAAGCGACGAAAGCTAAAGTCATGTTAGAAAATTATTATAGTAATCTCCTAGTTCAACACATTGAGCGCAAACAAAGGTGAGTTCAAACCTCTCTATTATTTTTACGTTTTAATCCTCTTACAGCCTTGATCCTCCGCCCTTCTCCCTGTTCTCTTTCCCCCTCCCTGGTTTTCCCTTCTTGCTCGGGGTTATACATTTTCGACTCTACAACCGAAAGCAAATCCTGCTGTACCTCCGGGCTGATTATCGAGGTTGATAGACAAAGCTGTAGACAAAGAAAACAAGGGATAACGTAGCGATCCTGTAGATTGAAACGGATGGTTGTTTTAAACTAATGGACGAAATAACGGACTAACTGAGCGGTTACTCGTAGGTTGCTAGTTAGCTAGTCTTATTTATCCCCTTTGTCCTTTGTCCATTGCAACCACCCGCTCCCACCAATAGGATCGCTTTATTTTTCATTTGTCTTCTCTTTTATCGATTTGATATCAATGTCAGTTATCAGTCCACAGGGCAGAATGTCCTACGTATATTCGAACGTTGTCATATGTCTTATGATAAAAAGCGAATTTTCTGGATACTGTATTTAAGTAATAGAAAAGTGCTGAAATTTTGATGCTGAACCTTGACATCGCCTTTAAGTTCTCAGATTTTGAATTTGTTTAATGTCAAGGGACTTGGCACGAAAATGTTTTGGTTTTAGGCATTTTTATGAAAACAATGCCACAAAAGCAACAACAACCACCAAGAAAGAACGTAGAAAAATCATGAAAAAGTCAGAGAATGCCATGCTCAGGAACCCTGAAAAGTCATGGAAAAATCAGATAATTTTGATTCGCAAGAAAACTTGTCATCCTATGCATGTAGGAACGAATGGACTACATTTTGCAATTAAGAACGATTATTTTCTACTAACTTTAGAAGCGGCGTATGTGCCATTAGTTGTCTTATGCAGTTAAATACTTTTATACAAATGAATCAGGGATTGTAGTTCCTAACTGCGAAATGAAGTCCAAAGTAAGTTCACTCCTAAACTAACGACATGACCCAAAATCGGATCGCTTTTTGCAATTTTCGGAACTACATTTTCTGCCTCATTCCTAAAAACACCTATGCGCGAAGGGGAACTACATACAGGAGACTTACGTTGTTTCCAAACTGAGCCAGAAATGTAGTTCCGAATCGCAAAACGCAGTCCAATTTGCAATTCCGTGTACTTTCAATGGAGATAAATGGAGGAAAAGCAGGCATGGGAACTCGCGAGAGTGGCCACTGACGTGGATGCACGTTTCGGATTCCCACAGCCGGAGACGAAGAGGTGGGTCAAAAGGTAAACTTACCCATCACCGATCAGCGACCGACTTTCCGTCATCACGATTCGAGGCAGCAGTCGCGTCCCCTCGGTCCGCGCGCTAAAATATTCGAGGCCACAGTCCGATCATTCGACGCTGAAACTTTAAGTGCTTTTCTAGATGAGCTCTGAGCACTATAAAAATGCCCATGAACTAGGGATCATCAGATAATAGACGTGCTCGGTTTTAACATCCATCGATTCAGTTTCGGTGCTGTTCGATCGTGATCGTGAGCTCCAGATTACCCCGAATGATCACGCTTTGGAATCCCAGATTCGAAGATTCATCGTCCCTAATGTCAGCAAATCAAGGAGGTGTTTAGACTTGTCCGATTTCTCCAGTCGCCGAATTGAGGGTCGTATTCACCATGGTCGTTCCTTAAAAAGCTCCTTTCCGAAGGAGAATGCAAATGATTGAATATATTGTGATGAAGGTTGAAACGGGGGTTGTTATAGACTAAGGGGGAACTTGATGGCTTAACAGGGTTGCCATGCACAGTCAGGGAATACCAGGGAATTCCAAGGAACTTAAAAAACCAGGGTCAAACCGAGAAATGTTGGAGACTTTTTGAAAGTCAGGGCAAACCTGAAAATGTCTGGAAAGATGACGAAAGTGTCAATTCACTTTTATTTGCTTTCTAGAATGGGTTTAACTTATCATACAACAAATTTTGCCCGAAAACTATTTCAAATTACGTCTTTTTAAAGATCTGGCATTATTTCAATTGTCAGGGGATTTCACTCAAATGTGTCAAAGGAATTAGGGAAATTTCAGCGAATTAAATTTTCTAAATTTTGCGGCAACCCTGAATAACTATATGGTCTCTTGTGGGATGCCGTTAGTTAGCACCCACCTCCACGTACCTCCTTTGTCCATTGCAACCACTCGCTTCCACCAAGAGGATCGCCCCATTTCCCCTTTGTCCTCTTTGTCTATCGCCTTGTCTATCGATTTCAATAATCAGCCCGCCGGAGTGAGGTGCACTCCGAATTTCACTCCGAATGGACTACAATTGCAATTCGGAACTACAATTTTTGGCTCATCCGTAACAACCCTTATTTGCATGGGTAAAATAATGTTATGTACGTTGTTTCTAAACTGAACCAGGTCTTGTAGTTCTTAATTACAAAATGTAGTCCAAATGCTCTAATCCCTCCGCAATTTTGCGACGGTACCGCGGAAGCGTATGCATGGAGAGCTAGCCGGGTAAATATGGGTCGCCGCGATTTATTTAAATCCACACATGCTCAACAACTATGGGTTTAAAGGATGGGAAGGGGGGTGGGTGGGTTGTTTCCATCTGTTCGACTGGAAACAATCAATTAATTCGAATACACGTCGCGCCGGCCGGATTGTCGTCAACTGGTACGGCACGGTCTGGCTGCCAAAAAAATCGTTTCGTTCGTAAGTTTGTTGGATTCGCGAGCGGTCGGTCTCCGGCAGGGATTCTTACGATCAAGCGGGGATCGATCGATTGAACCGCAATGGAACCGTTTCAATCTTGACGTCACGGTGAGAGTTTTTCTAAATGCAAGTCGGCGGTGATAGCGAAGATAGCAGTAAGTGCATATGGACTGCATTTTGCAATTAGGAACTATAAATTCTGGCTCTTCTGGAAAAACACTTATGTGCATAGAGAAACTAACGGCACATACATTGTTTTTAAATCGGGCTAGAACTTACAGTTCCAAATTGCAAAATGTAGTCCAAATATGAAGTTTTGAGAAAACGGGCTCAGAAGCGTAAGAGCGGGAAATTGTATTGACAGCAGCCTCCGTTCTTTCTCAAATTGCCACTAATCGTCCGAAAGACTCCTAGAAATCGTTTGGATGCTTAAAAATCGACTGATTTTATTTTAATTACATAAAAAGGGTATTTTTCATTTTCATGCTAGGTTTTTGTTAGGCAAGACAGACGTAAGTTCCATCTTCTGCATGCTTTCGTGGTTGCGTTTTGGACAAACAAAAAACACATCTTCGAGTTAGGAATTGGCAGAAGAGAGCCCTTATTTGTATTCCATGGACCAGTAGCGTGGCGTGTGGCGTGAATGATCGATTATCGATATCTCTCCATTTGAAGACGTGGTAAAGAATCGATTACTAAGGTGTTCGTTGCGAACACCCTGTTTATCGATACTTTTCTATAGGTTCAAGTGGCAGATCAATCGATATATCGCAAAGCACACCTCGCCACTGCTATGGACGCCCCCAAGACGGGGAACTGACCTATGCTTGGTTTCCCGGAGACCCCTCGTCATGTTCCCGTCGGCATGAATGAAATGAAACGGGCCCAATTGAGTCGTGGCTCCGCGGTGCGTTTCCTGTTTCTGGCGTAATCATGAATGAAATCGCATCGTAATGATACGGACTAACGATAATTCGAAGCTCGGAATCCGTGACCGAACCCTCCGAACAGGTGCGCCGCCGCAGCCATTTCGCTCCCCCTCTAACGTATAAAGACGTATCTCAATCTCGACGTGAGCCCTGATTTACGTACTAATCCAGGCTTTCTAGTGTTCATGCGGAAATGTAGGTACGCCCTTACGTCAGAGCCGGAGGACGACGACTCTTTCAAACCAGCCGGGGCTCTCATTTTTCGCACCTACGTGTTGCCGTTGAAAATTCTCAGCCGATCGTATAATGAGCGTAGCCTTCTAATTGATTCGCTCGAAAATTGATGGCTGTATTAGTCGTTTCCCTTTCCATGACGTAAGAACGAAACTACCTTTCAACTATGCGAAATTTCCACGCTCGGATTGATTTTTTATTGCGAAACTGTTGGGCATTTACAACTTAAAATTGCATAGATTTGTTTAAAAAGAACAAGCAATAATCAGCTACATTGGTAGTATTTGCAGAGTCATATTCCCGTAAAAAATTGGATAGTTCGAGTCAATTTTGGAGCCTTGGAATGGCTTTGCGTTCCTTCGTCTAAGACATGACGTATTGTGGCTAAGTGTATTGCTTTGTAAAGGGGAGCATTCTGAATTCTTACGATTTTTTCTAGTTTGTGGCCGTACAATGGGAGGGGAACTCGGTCCACTAATACTCAAAATTAAAAAAAAAAAAAATGGGGCATCTTATAATGCTCATTAATATGGGACCGACCCAAAATTTAAATAATGCACTTTCTTCGGAAATTAAACTAAAAATGATTCTTCAACAAAGTTCTCCCTGATGAAGAATTAAGTCCATTGATTCTAATACTCAATCGGTTTCCAAAATCGATAGCGGATGAAATTTCAATTAGTACCGAGAGATTATTTTTGCAAAACATTTCCAAAGGCAACCGGACTCACCCTCCGTACTAGGGATCATCCCCCCAGATTCCCTATCTGGAGCGTTCATGAAATACGTAACGCTCTAGAGAGGTAGGGTCGAGGAGCTCGTTACGCCATTTTCTTTTTAAATATTAAGAATAGGGATCTACGTGGCCAAAGCGTTCCAAGTCGAAAAATTCGAAATTTAGCGCTACGTATTTTATGAACTGTATTCGAATTCACCAAACGTCCTTTCCTCGACCTTTTTCTGAACGGACCTCCTCGTAAGGTTCTATTTCCCATTCCCACGGAAAGACCAACGTCGCACTCCAGAACACGGCCACAATAGGGTTGGGTCCGCGGAAAATTTTGTATTAGATCGTTCGTATCGTATCCTTGCCGGAGGCCAGCAACGACACGGCCGAAGAACTGCATTCCTGGAACAACAATACCTATTTTTACCAGGCGGATTGTTAGCGCGGGAGGGGGCTCTTGTCCAGGGGTCGGGAGGGGCCCCGAGGGGATCCAGGATGCGAATGGGGACCATTAAAAAACGGGAGTCACTGGACGCAGTGCGTCGAGTGCGTGGGCCCATAAAGTAAGGATCGTTATTGTATTTTCTGACACCTTTCGACCGGGCCTCTTGGGCCGATTCGAGCCGCGGTCCGGGTTTACTCTCGTGAGGTTTGAGATTTACGTTAAAGTGAGGTTGCATCCGTGTGAGGCTTTAAGAACAATGCCTTCTCCACGCAGGTCCTTCTTGACTGCTATGGAAAAACGCCGTAAGAAAATTTGAGAGTTGCCAAATTTCTTCGGGTGAAACACGTATTTTTGAGGGAAGTTATGCACATTTTTCTGATGCATAAATTTTCAGATACTTTTGACGGTATTGCGAACAGCATTGTGTGAAAAATCGTTGTCTCCTCCTTCTCCTCCCCCGCCTTCTCCGTCTTCTTTTTCTTCCTCTTCTCTTCCATCTTCTTCCTCTTCCTCCATTTCTACCTCTTCGTCCTTCTCTTACTCCTCCTCGTTGTCTCCCTCTGCTTCTACTTCTGCTCATTCTTCCTCCCTGTCATCTCCTTATATCTTTCTTCTTCTTCCTCGTCTGTTTCTTCTCTTTCTCCTTTTCTTTCTCCTTTTATCCTAATTTTTCTTCTCCTGTTCTTTTCCTCCCTCTTCTGCTGAAATTTTGAATGCAATTATCCAAAAAATTCAAAAAAAAAAAATTACTAGTTTTCCAAAAAAAAAAAAAAATTGTGTTTCATCAAAAGAAAGCTAGCAACATTCCAACGTCGACTATTCTAACATTCTAACTTCATTAAGTAACATAGACTAACATTCCATAATACCTCCCTCTCCTGCTGAAATGTTGAATTCAATTTTCCAAAAATTTCGAGAAAAAATTTTTTTCTAGTTTTCCGAAAAAATCGTGTTTTATCTAAAGAAATCTAGCAACATTCCATCATCGACTATTCTAACATTCTAACTTCAGTAACTAACATTCCCAAATTCCTCCCTCTGCTAACATTTTGATTACAATTTTCTAAAAATCTCTGAAAAAATTTCACTAGTTTTCCCAAAAATTCGTATTCTATCGAAAGAAATCTGGCAGCATTCCAACGTCGATACGTCGTTTCATTTTCTCGTGAGCACGGGACAATCCCCTCTGCACGCATTATTACGCAGGTCCTCGTTGATTAGGGAAGCGTTTGGCTCTTGGGAGCCGGCCAAAAATCGGACAATGGAGCACTTACCAGCGAGTCGATTATCGAATCATTATCGAACGATCCTCATCGATGAATCCCTATCTTAGCAATGTTTTATATCGATCGAGTTATCGATATCGATTCGACAATAGAGTCGGGCTGGAGCGAGGCCGCGACCGCCCCTGCTCGTGATCGATAAAGATGTCGGGCCTTTTTTCTGGGGTGTGAGGCGTTTTAATCGAGCAGCGTCCCCCGGCGTAACCTTGAAACCGGTGAAGGAAAAACCGTGGATCTGAATAGGGTCTCCCATTGAAGTTAAACGGTTTTGCTCGAGGTATCAGCAATCTGGTGCAATATCCTTGCGGGTGCGGGTGTGAGGGTTGTCTCGATTGGACACAAGGAGGAACTTTTGTTAGTCGTATGGTCTCGCCTTGAAAGAGGTGTCAACCCCTAATAAATTGCGACGGTTTTTTCTCTTTTTTTTCGTCGAGTTCTTTCTTTTCGACCCTTTCAAGCCGGATATGTAGCAATTAGCTGGCAGGGTGACCAGGTCCTTGAAAAGTAAAGGGATTTCTAGGAGTGAGCAAATCTTACACCGTGAAAGATGAGGAAAGTTTAGCGTCTGGACTCGAATTTTCGTGTCCTGTCAAAATTTATGATTTACATCCATCGCACTAATGTGATTCGTCATCACAGGGTTGCCTTAGTCAGGGAATACCGGGAAAACTGGAAAATGCCAGGAAATTTTAAAAAGTCAGGAGAAACCTTGATAAAGAGTATGTCAGGAAAATGACAAAAGTGGCAGGAAAAAATTGTTAAGTTGCCTTTCTTAGTTTTCTGGAATGAGTTCGACGTTTTGAACAACAGATTTTGCGTAAAAACTAATGTCTTATCAACTATCTGGCATCTATTCAATTATCATGGAATTTAACCAAAATGTGAGAGGAAAATGTCAGGGAATTTCATATACTCTAAATTATTTGGCAACCCTGACTGGAAAAAGTTTATGAAATACCTCGAAAGATACTTGAAATCCCTTAATTTCACCAATCAGGAATCCTTTGAAAGTTTTCGAAATATGTCTTTTAAACTATCCGGAATTTTTTCAATCGCCACGGAATTCTACAAAAATGTGACAGGAGAATCGGGGAAATGTAAGGGAATTTCATTTTCTAAATCTGTGGCAACCCTGACTGGGAAAGTTTTGGAATACCTCGAAAAATTCTCGAAAGCTCATAATTTCACCAATCAGGAATCCTTAAAAAGTTTTCGGAAATCCTTGAATTCGGTTTCACTGAGATGTCATGAACCCTGCATATTCCCTCACGCCATCGCTGAAACCGAGGAAAAATCACTCGAAATCCTAAATCGGAATCCGTCGCGAACGAGGAACAAACCGAACCAAGTCTCGACGACTGATGAGCCTCGCTCGGGCCCGTTAACGGCTCCGTTACATTAGCATCCGACGGAAACCGTCGCCCCTCCGACGTAAGAACGTATCTCGATTTCCCCGTGAGCCCTGTTCTCCGTCTAACTCCATGCTCTCCGGGGCTCAAGTGAGGATAGAGTTACGCCTTTTTGTCAGAGGAACGAGGGGCGGAAAGGGGAAATCCGGAAATTTTGACAGAGGCCCCGACGAAGCTGGAGCTGTCGGCGCGGCCGCGGTGCGCACGTAATTCAAAACGAGTTAAACGGTATTTGAACTGTAACGCGAATCTAGATCGTCCGATTCCGCTAGCCGACCCCCGACCGGCACCGGGCTCGGCCGATTCGCTCGTCCTGGAGACGTCGAGAAGGAAACGTCCGGAAAAAACTACGCCCAGACCGACGGTGACGATTCGCTGAGCAGTGATAGGATCTTAGAGGTGGGTTAATTGTTAAAATTGATAGATAAAACATTGGACGAAGGAGACAGTGAGAAATTGGAGGGATTCTATTGCAGGGTGTCTGCAAGTCCGGAAATCCGGAAATAGCACTGATTTTTTAAGGGCGGTCCGAAAAATCCGGAAATAGTTGATTTTTTAAGGGCGGTCCGGAAAATCCGGAAATAGTACTGATTTTTAAGGGCGGTCCGGAAGCACTCAAAAAGTGCGGTAATTCCGCAGGAAGGTCCGGAATTTTTTTTCATTTTTTTGTTATTTTTAAGCGAGAAATTCAAATTTATGAAACTTTTCGAATTTCGTCTCTTAGAGGTACTAAAAAAGTACTGAATTTTTCTGTTGAGGAGATACAGAATTTCTTGGGAAAATACTGAAAAAGTACTGTAAAAGTACTGATTTTTAGCCAGCCTGTTCTTGTAGACACCCTGTAATCATTGGTAGAAGCTGGTGGTTGAAACAGGGCAGAAAATGTAGTTCCTAATTGCAAAATGCCGTCCAAATTTTTTATTGCCTTGCAAATATTACTTCATCCAGCTCTGCTAAGAATGAAGGTCCTCTTACTATAAGTTTATCTAACGGTGTGTGTTCATTTTTGGTTACAGGTTAGCAAAATTAGAAGAAACTCTGCGAGATGACAGTTTATCGGAGCAGCAGAAACAAGAAAAACGTATGCAACATGCGCAAAAAGAAACGGAGTTCCTAAGGCTGAAAAGGTCCAGGCTAGGAGTCGAAGACTTCGAACCCTTGAAAGTCATCGGTCGAGGAGCTTTTGGAGAAGTAAGTGTCGTTTATCCTAAAGTTCTCATATGAACTATCAAAACCGTACTATCTGTACGGCCAAAGGATCGTACCAAAAGTCAGCATTTTTGTCTAGAATTGTCTTTCTCTAGAATTGGCGACAAGATCACAAAAATGTAAATATCTTTGGATCCTCTATGGATTCAGCAATTTGGCAACATTGATTTTTCTCAATTCAAATCTATGGAAACATGTCGATTCCTAGAGGGGTTGCTGTGATAAGATTCGATTATTAAACATAGGTTTAAACGAAGGAACGCCAGTGGTGCCAAATTGCTGGATCCGTCTCTGCATCCAACTCTTGGTAAATAGGTTCTAGCAGTCGCCGTAGAGTAATTTGGTAATCCTACCCTGGAAGTGACCGCAAGTTTTCATAAAACGGCGAAGAAAGGTATGCTTAAATTTCATGCTACCTAACTCATTTTGATAAATCCAGAGCTTTCAAATTTTTTCGATGGTTCGTAATTTTAGGATGAATGCAAGGCGACTTTTTTAAACTAAATCTAAAAAAAAGCAATCATCGTGCTTCGTTTTTTTTTTAAGAAATTACCCAACCATTTATCCGTAGCCAGGGTTCCTGGCGGTCTGGAAAACCTGGAAAGTCATCAAATCAGCAGCAATCTGGAAAAGCCAGGGAATTACGTAGTGGTGCGGCGTGCTTTGCGATGTATCGTTTGATATGCCATTCAAACCCATGTAAAAAGATCGGGTATCAGTGCGTTCGCAAAGAACTCCGTAGTAATCGATTCTTTACCACAGCTTCAAATGAGATAATATCGATAGTCGACTATCACGCCTCGCCTCTGGAATTTCGCGAGTAATGTCTAACGGAAGTGTTCGAAGATCAGGGAGAGTCAGGGAGCTCAAAAATTTTGGAATAAGGGTTTAAAAGCAAAGAAAGTCAGAGGAAGTCAGGAAATCGGAAAATGAAGAAATTATGGGAACCCTGATAGCTACATGGTTGCTGTCTTGACTGACACTATACCATCACTATTAAGTTTCAAAAATTTGATCTAACGTCTTCTGTCTTTGATCTATTTCAGGTTAGGTTGGTGCAGAAAAAAGATACTGGTCACGTGTATGCAATGAAAATTCTACGGAAAGCAGACATGTTAGAAAAGGAACAAGTTGCACACGTCCGTGCAGAACGAGATATTCTAGTCGAAGCTGATCATCAGTGGGTTGTTAAAATGTATTACAGTTTCCAGGTAAGTAATCGGGATTTTTGTTCTTTTCTTGCCTTGAAGAGCTTGATAGCCTCAACTAAACCGTAACAGTATAAATAGTTCAATTACAGGGCAAAAACTAAAAACTAAAAAAAAAAAAAAAAAACTGAAAAAAAAAAACAACTAAAAAAAAAACTAAATCGTTCAGCTTCAACAAATGTGACCATGGCCGTCCATGCAAAATGAAATTTCATGTTGCTGAAAAGTGAAATTCCAGCGATGTATTAAGGGTTGCGTACGCAACCTGCAACAATTATCTGAAAATATAATATGATACGGAACTTTGAAAGACTCATGATTTTTTTCTTTGAAATTAAGATTTTACTGTTTTTATGCATCATATGCCATACTAAATGTATATTGCAGAATTTTTTTGAAAGAAATGCATGTAATTCCACGAAATTTCATCAAATTTCATCGTGAGGTTTCATTCTGAAGTTTCTCAAAATTTTGCATCTTCTCAAGGGAGTATTTTCTATCAAGGTGGGTAGAAAAATTTGGGGGAAAAATTAGGAATGAACTTCGATGAAAAGTACTCAATATTAGCTCCAAAAGGAAAATATTAGCACTTTCCCCCGTTTTTTTTGTCAATAGAAGGCGTGATGTTGCATTACTTGCACTATAGTCTTACAGTTTTAAATGCTAAAGATGACAAATTTAAACTTTTTGTAGCTTTCTCATGAAACTATTTTCTTTGAATTGCAAGCTTCAAATCATCATAACATAGTTTGTTTCAATGTCTTTTGATGTTTTCGTGTCAAAAAGTAAACTCTCTTACCTCAACCCTTTTTTTTTGTTAACAGGATCCAATAAACCTGTACCTGATAATGGAGTTCCTGCCTGGTGGTGATATGATGACCCTTTTGATGAAAAAGGACACTTTGAGTGAAGAATGTACACAGTTTTACATAGCTGAGACAGCACTTGCAATAGATTCTATACATAAACTTGGTTTTATTCACAGGTTTGTTAAATTCTATTTTCACAGCTGAGATGCTGGCTATTCTCGAAGCAATTAGATATATACAAGAACTTAGTTCCTGTAACAATGATACCATCAATTACGTCATATGCTCTGACTCTCTTTCCTCACTCCGCACCTTGAAATACAACCCTACTAATCATCCCTTTTCAATGTTAATCCATGATACTGTTCATTCCTTATTGGCCAATGGCCACTCCACCTCTTTTATCTGGGTACCGGCTCATATAGGAATTCTGGGAAACGAAACAGCGGACAGAGCAGCAACTGAAGCATGCTCTTTGCAGAACATCTCTCACCATCCATTCACTCAGCAAGATGCTAAAAAAGCTATGTGCGAAATTATCACAAAATCGTGGGAACAAGAATGGAGCACAAGTGAACAGAATCGTCTCCGTAGAGCCCCCATGCCATATCCGAGAACATCTAACCACAAATCAAGATCATGTGAAGTCCAAATTGCGCGTCTCAGGATAGGTCACACTTTTTTCACTCACAACCATATCATATCTAAAGAAAACCAACCCATCTGCCACTTCTGCAATTCATCACCTCTAACCATCAAACACATACTTATGGACTGCTCTTCCCTCCGACATCTCCAATCACAGATCTACTCCCCTACAATCAACAGAAATACAAACCCTCTTACATGCGATGAACCTAATATTGCCACCAAAATTCTGAAACTCTTCACCTCTCTTAATTTAAAAATCTAAATTTTCGTTTATACTCCTATATAATTTCAAAATTACCTGTAAAGACGTTAATAGCCTAAGTCGCTGAATGTCTCAAAATTATAATAACTAACTAACTGTCTTGAATTTTTACTTACTCTCTCCCTATGTCCATAGAAGAAGTATTTTTTTTACCTTGTCTAAGTTGTCGGAAATGGGGCAAAAATAAAACTCAAAAGTAGACAGTTAAATGTTTCTAGTAATGGGTCACATAGCAGAAGTAAACGTCACATTTCTCTCTTCAAAATCTTACGTAGAAAACTGTTCGCACGACAAGAAATTTTAAAATCAACTCCTGAAAGAGATCCCGTCAAGACTTTTAAACACAGATCAAATGGAAGTTTGATTATACACTTGACGTCGTTTGTATATTTGCCATTTAACAAATGTTAACAGAAAACATTTATATCTTGTTCAGGAGTTAATTTTCCAACTTCCCGTTGTGTGATTCGTTTTCCTTGAGAAATTTTGAAGAGGACTAACGGAGCGTTGTGCTGGCCCATTTGGAGTACAACTTCTACATTACTGCAGAAATCAAAACTATGGACAATGAGTCTGTATAAAATAATATTGACCATATTCAAGCCCCTGTAAAGTGTTAAGGTGATTTGATGGACGCCATATTTTGTGTCAGAACGGCACGCGATATATCGCATCAACTGGTTCCATTTTTTCAGCTACTCGTCATTTTTCTCCAATTTTGAGATTGCCATTCTGTTGTCAGGAGACTAAAGCACTCTTTTACCAATTTTAACAAAGAAATTCAACGTAATAAAGGCGTGGTCTCTTCAGAGAGAAAACATTGCATTCGATACTGATATCGAAACTGCACTCGAATGCGACATTTTCTCTCTAAAAAAACTACGCTTTTATTACGTTGAATTTCTTTGTTAAAATTGGTAAATGAGTGCTTTAGTCTCCTGACAACAGAATTGCGATCTCAAAATTGGAGAAAAATGATGAGTAGCTGAAAAAATGGAACCAATTGATGCGATACATCGCATGCCGTTCTGACACAAAATATGGTGTCCATCGAATCACCTTGAACTAGATGGACTCATGAATGGACTACATTTTGTAATTAGGAACTATTATTTCTGGCTCAGGTTAGAAACAACGCATGTACCGTTAGTTTCCATTGTGCATAATTGTTCTTTACAGATACACAAGAAATTATAGTACCTAGTTGCAAAACGTAGCCTTAGTGGACCACAAGAAAATTAAGCACCTGACTATGTGTCTCCCTATGAAAATTTGTCGCACCTCTGGCATGAGCTCTGAAAGCACAGAGTTATATGGAGAACAGGGTTGGAGTGGAAATAGAGTTCTGCCCTTACGTCAGAGGAGCGCCGAATTTTACGTAGAACTCAATGGACGCATTAAAACTATTCAAATTCAACTCACGAGTTGAAAAATAACTTTTTTCATCTAGGTTAATTTGTTCAATAAAAACCTGAGTCCACCCAAGTCAAATTGAGCACTAAAAAGATTTCGGTATGTTCAACAATGGAAAATTTTTTTTGTGTTTATTGAACCTTTTTTGAATTGATTAAAGGTATACTTAATCAGAGGAGGAAGGAATTTTGTATAAAACCAAGTTCTAGTTCTTTGGCTAATGCTCAGCGGCTCATATAATTTTTGATATTGTTATGTTTATGATGCTTTGGAGGGTATGAATAGATACTTTCTAAACCATCCCAGATCCAGCGTTGAAAATTTTCAGTTTTCCCTCGGCAGGAAAGCAGAACACGGAGAAGGGGAGGAGTGCACAGGAGCAAAAGACTAGAAAATTAAGGAGGAAAAAAGTAGTGAGAAAGTTCTTTGATCTTAGGCATTTATTTTTTGCTGTGTATCACTTTTTTTCACTCAAAGGAAGGATTTTAAGCAATCTAAACTTACAGATTCTACTTCCCATAACTATACACAGCTTTTTTTGTTTTCTAACACACAAAACTTTCTTTCTTCATACTGTACCTTTTTGGAAAGAAAATATTCAACTTTTTAGTTGATTTAACCTCATTTTGTTTGTTTCTTATTTACAGGGATATTAAACCAGACAATTTACTATTAGATGCTCGAGGACATATTAAGTTATCAGATTTTGGGCTGTGTACGGGTTTGAAAAAATCTCACCGGACAGACTTTTATAGAGATCTCAGTCAAGCTAAACCATCGGATTTCAGTAAGTTTCTTCTTAATCGTGAGTATTTCGATGAAATTGGTTTACATTGATTTTTTTCTTCTACCATAGCAGTCAATTTAATGACCAGCTTCTTTAGGAGGCAAATGTCATAATTATGAATAAATATAATTGCATTAATGATGTGTCCATTTTGACAGAAAAATATAATTTTTAAAGTTTAAGGAAATTAGAAGCATTGTAATTACCTATTGAAGGGGTAAAATTAATGGCTTCCTGCTCTTTTTTATTAGAGCAAAGTATTTGAGGTCCCCGCAGCCTTAGAGAGATTATCTCTGAGATTCTGTGTTTATCGACCATCAAGACAAGACAAGACCTAGGAATGGAGTCGTGTGATTGATCAACTTTGTTACTAAGTAGCTCTCGATGGGTGATAGAACCGCACTCCTGTGGTCTAGCATCATGGAATGCAGCACCGCCATGGTGCAGTCCTATTTCGTCTCTTCGGATCTTCATGTAAAATTGTTAAGATTCAACCATTCCAGAGTTTGTCCAGAATTATATATCTCATGAGGGAGTCAAATTCTGTCTTACCAGATGGAAGGAAAATTATGTAAATGAAGAAGAACAGAAAAAAATTATTACATTTATACAGGGTGTCTCACGAAAAAGGAGCCACCTTGAATATCTGCCGAACGCGTCGGAATTTCGAAAAACGGTAAAAGACGTGTTCGTTTATATCGAGGGGGACACCTTTTGGCGTATTTGACATTTTCCCAAACCGCGGGAGGGGCGCGGGGCGGGGGGTGCCCCCCGTAAGTCGAACTTTTCAAATGGCACCCCTACTTTTTTATTTCAGNAGACACCCTGTATTTACACTATCCTAAGCTTATTATTATTTACTTCTCATCCTCACACTGTGATAAACTTAGGAAATCGGATTCTAAATGTGTATGCTGATTGTTTGTCATCCTCCTGTTCTTCAAATGAGTTATCATTAAATGACATTTTCTCTTGTTTCCAGCGTCAAGTCCAATGGATAGTAAACGTAGAGCTGAAAGTTGGAAAAAAAATAGACGAGCTTTGGCGTACAGTACTGTTGGCACGCCCGATTATATTGCCCCTGAAGTGTTCCTACAAACTGGATATGGTCCAGCCTGTGATTGGTGGAGTCTTGGAGTTGTTATGTATGAAATGCTAATAGGTGAGTCCTTGCAGCAACTACGGTTGAGTATTTTCCACCAACTGTGGTCAATTGTTTGTTACTTTTTACTTGATAGCTGAGACCTTGAGATTCTAAGAGACGACTGATGAACAATTTCCATTTTTTCTTTTTTTTTCCGCTCACACAATAAAATTTGAGAATTATGTGTTCTCATAAGAAACAAACAAATTTTCAGATTCCTTTCTACTGTATTCAGTTAATAATGGTGCCATTACTCAATACAAGGGTCGTCCAGAAAGTAGTAGAAAGTGTCCAGTAAGTAGTAGTCCAGAAAGTGTAGGGTAGTTTACCTATTCGATATCTACCAAATCAAGATAGATAAAGAAAATCTGTAAAAAGAGTTAAAAAGCCACTACTCTTGGCTTTCTAACGCGCTATAGATTAATTTTAAATTTAGTTTATAATAACGCCAGGAAAGTGGGTATTTCTGAACCCACCTTCTCTCCGCACGGGTCCAAAATTTCATGGAGCGTCATCTGCACGTTTGCCGTTACACTTATTGCTTATCGCAAAAATGTGGCTTAGAGGTGGTGAAAATTATGTAAAACATAAGTGAGGACATTTTTCAACTAGGAAATTGTAAGATTGATTGTGTTTATTTAGATAATTGGTGGGTTTTGACTGCAGGTCATGGGAATGTTAGGCTACATTTGGTAAAATCGTGTAGTTGTAATACTGAATTTGGTTTAGAAGTGTTAATTGAGTTCTATTGTTCGTTTTCTCGCCAATAAAGGTGACCCTGAGCTGCTTAGTTCCGGGTTTATTTGTAATAAAAAAATTGTAAAGCTGCATATTTTTTCAAATGATGCATCTTTGACGAAATTTCTTTGAGAACAAGCAAGATAATTTGAAAGCTTTTAAATGGATCTGTCAGCAAGTGAAAGTTAATGTTGACAATTTAGTAAACCTCTGCCCAGATGCAGAGAAAACACGGTGAATCTTGTTACTTCCTATTTAAGAATCTTCTTATTAATGTATTACATGTTTTTTAACCACCTCAAAGCCACTTTCTATCTGTAAGCAATTGGCTTCAATGTAACGGCTCATGTGTGGATGACGCTCTGTGAAATTTTGGACCCAAGTGGAGAGAAGGTGGGTTCAGAAAAACCCACTTTTCTAGCGTTTTTATGAACCAAAGTTAAAAATCTATAACGCGTTAGAAAGCCGAGAGTCGTGGCTTTTCAATGCTTGTTACAGATTTTCTCTATCTACCTTCGTTTAGACGATATTTAATAGAGAGCTTACTTTCTGGATGACCCTCATAAACTGCATCTATGGCTCAAGTCAGGTGTACCTCAGTCAGCGGCTCATCAAATCTCTTCCTTTTTTATTTTTGAAGGTTACTATTTTTAAGTTTAAAAAATATTTCTCAAAGAAGTAAAAATAATCCATAATAATTTGAAGAATTATATTGAGTATCTCTCCAATTGACGAATAAAATACAGTTAGACCTCGATTTATCCGATTGCAATTCTAAGGATCGATTTTCTGGTCCCCTCAAGGGGGCCATAAGAGCAATTTGTTAAACTTTTTGACAGACAATGTATTGGAATCTCGATCAGATTGGATTTAACAAATTGTAATTCTTGATACATTTTTTATCTTCTTTTGGTAAAAACTATCCATTCTGTCTTTTCTCTCTTTCAACTGGAGCCTCAGTATTCTTTCCAGGTAAAAAAAAAACGGAAGAGGTCCTTTTTTTCTCTCTTTAATTTTTGTGCTCCTTGCAATGTTGTGTTTTCCTGCCCGGCAAGGGGGTCAAGGGCGATAATCATGCCACTGTTTAAGATCATCATTTTTATAAGAAAAAACCTAAATATTTTTCCAAAAATATATCAAAACAGAGAATGTGAGTCTTAGAAATATTGACTACTCCGCAGTAAAACCATAAAAGGCAGAATCTCTCAATCAAATGTATGGTCTAAAAGGTTTTAGTTCTTCGTATTTTTTTAATTATCTCTTTGTATTATCAATTGTTTGGGAGAAATGGTTTGGAAGTATTAAAAACTTCAAATAAAATATCCAAAATAAATTTATTTCTCATTTATAATCCGTAGAAGTAAAAATAAGAAGCTTTAACTGACATTAGTGTAATAGCTTTTACCCAAACAGCTCACCTAACCGTGTCTGTATTTTCCAGGTTACCCCCCGTTTTGTAGTGAAAATCCTCAAGAAGCCTACAGGAAAGTCATGAACTGGCGAGAAACACTATCATTCCCACCTGAAGTACCTATAAGCGAAGAGGCAAGAGAAACGATTTTAAGGTTTTGTTCCGAAAGCGACCGAAGACTAGGATCATCGAGAGGGATAGAAGAACTGAAGCAAAACAATGCATGTCCATTTTTCCGAGGAGTCGATTGGGATCATATCCGAGAGAGACCTGCGGCTATCCCCGTTCAAGTCAGATCTATCGATGACACGTCTAACTTCGATGAATTCCCAGATGTGAAATTAGAAATTCGTAAGTATTGGTTCTGCCTAGACATTTTGTTTTATTTGCGGGGATTTTTTTCTAAGTGGGTTTTGTGATTGAGCAAAGGAGAAGAGCATTCGTTACTCATTCATAGAAAAAGCACCAAAATATGGCGGGAATAAAGTGACAGGATGTTAGAATAATGCTGGGACGACACCGTTTGAAAAGGAAAGAAAAAGAAATCAAAACTTATGATTGAGGACACTGCACAAATAACAGCCTAACCGCGTTGTGAGAAAAACACATTGAAAGTTTGGTATTTGATCAAAAGGAACTAAATGAGAAAAACACTTATTATTAAAGTTAAATCAACCCAAAATTAAAAAACCCAACCAAAAAGGAAATCCAAAGACATAAAGACGGAGTGCTCATATCTAAAAGCACGGGGAAAAAGTGAAGCCTGGTTTGGCGCTGGGTGCTTGTGTGAGTGTGTAAATGAGCGCCGGAATCCATGGCGGCAAACGGAAATTTGATTTGAACTTGTCCTCTTGATTTTTCCCTATTTCTTCTTCGAAACGTATTTTAAATGCCTGAAACGAATATATTAAGAAAGTTGGGACTGCGTCCTATTATAATACACCTACTTTTGCTCGGTAACAGGCAGTAATTTCAGAGAAAGTTAGTTTTTCTTCTGCTCATGGTGGTTCTGCTGGTTCAAACAGGCCGTTACAGTCGTAGATGACCGTTACTCCCAAATGAAATTAATCAGTCGACGACGGACCAAAACTAACCTAAAGTTATACAAATATGAGTGTGTAAGTGAATTAGGGCAAAAATCAACCTAAAATACTTTGTTTCCGCAATTTTATTTAGTTTCCGCCCTATATTTGAATTTCAAACTTGTATCGATTTCGCCGCCAATCCTCTAGCCAATAGTAGAGGTGATTGAAAAGAAGCTTCATTTTTTGCTTTTAGCGCTCCGTCTTTATGTCTTTGTATTTGATATACTACGCTGACTGTGCTTTGCAGGCACCCTGCTTTTTTTGTTTTTGGTGACCCAACCTTTGTGTAGACGCATTTAGCGGTGACGTCATCGAACGACTTTGTCGTCTCGACAACTCAAAAGTCGAAACGTGCCCCAACAAACAAACGTAACCTCCAAAATGATAAATTGACGAATGATTGCTAAAACTAGCCTGAAACCAAGCAATTGATTAATGGGAATTTAAAATCATGAAAACTAGTCATTTACAGAAACGTTCAAGGTCACAATCACAAGAAATGATTGTATAATAAGCTGGTAACATCATACATAGTCATCAAGCGACTACCCCTACCCTCCTGCCTATATTCCGCAGATTTCTCCATGTTCGTTTGTTGGGGACCGTTTCGACTTTCGAGATATCAAAATTAAATCGAGATGTGACATCACACTAAATGCGTCTATTGAAGGATGCCAGGTTGATATTGCGATACATTTTCGGTTTTCATAGATATGTACTTAATTTAAAAAATCGGTTTATGGGATGTTATTGCGTCCGACAATCATTTTCATTGAAGTTAATGAGTAAAACTCATTATATAGAGCAAAATTATTGCAAAATGAAATTATACCAATGCTGATTTTACAAGATAATGCCAAAAGGGAACCAGCACCTGCTCTCTCCCTCTTCAGCTTACAATGAATCATTGTAATGATTGAAGTTTGGTCATGGTTTCTGTTTTAAAAAATGGTATGATTGTTTGAAAAGTGTTGCAAGCTGTACAGCCATATACCAGGAGCCATGTTAAAAATGTAGCGTCTATGCAGTAAATATTTTCACCCAGAGCTTTTGAGGGACGGTTTTACCACCTCTGAGGCCATGAAAGGCCTTTACGCATGTAGGCTGTTATTCCACCCATTGCTCCAGAGGCCTGACTTAACCGGAAAATTAGGATTTTAACCTCCAGCTGTTACCTGACTATGTTCTACCTATACCACGGTATAATCCAGGGCATGGAGAATCTGAAAAGCCGATGGGAGCAATAGCGACCTATATGCGTATAGGCTGTTATTTGTGCGGTGTTCTCAGTTAGGGATCCCAAAAAGAACCGAGGCTTTTCACTCAGGAGCTTGCCCATTTATGAATTTGCTCTCAGCAAACAAAAGTAAGAACATTATGTAATGAAGTTAGCTGGACGAGTTAATAATATTTCTGATCCTTAAAATTAAAAAAATTGATCTCGGTGATTGAACTAGGTAGAAATTAAGAGAAACGAGAGATTTTAGAGTTAGTATTTAAATTAAACTATTGATATTCTGTAAAAAATAACGCAAATCAATGTCAGAAATTTGATTCTCATCTAACAAAGAATGGAACTCAATCGAATCAAAGTAAAATTATTATCATCTATGGATATTTTTTTCCTTATCCTGAGGAATCATGTAAAACGGATTTTTCTTTTACCCCATTACTTTAAGATTATTTTTTTCCTCCGGCACTTGACTTATTTGATGTGGTTCAAATCAGTAACTTTCACAGAGCATGTAGGCTTACTCCAACAGAAGGTTCACTCCCAGCACTTCACTGTGGAGGAAGAAGATTAGTGCTGGGAATAAATGTTTACAATTTGTCTACGGACCGGAGTCTGGGGCGGTTCTCAACGTTGTCGGTTCCTACTTCAGGGTGCCTTTCTCCAGCTACTCTCTAACATAAGTGAATGCATTCATTTGGCAACAATGCAGAGACATTGGAAAGTACAAAACGCGACACATTGAAGTAAACGGGGGTGAACCTTTTGTCGGCACCAGCCCATATAATCAGCGGTACCTTTAGATAATTCGGAATAGTCCTAAAATTTATTTGAAGATGCTGAAAATGTAGATACTTAGCTTACAAAATAAATTCTGTCAGTCAACAACAGAAAACTACTGTAGAAAAGCTCCTTTTTGTTACTTTGCAACTTTTACCAACAAGAAAGAAGCGTTGCAAGAAAAACATAAAATCAGTTAAATTCACGAAAAAAATGAGGTTAAGTGAAGTAATAGTGTGCAATGAAACAACAGTCTCGCACAGGAGAGAAAAAGTACAGCACTGAGGTTTGTTGCGTTAGTCATTCTTCTAATACAATTTTGGATTAATATCCTTACTATTTCACAAATACAATCCTCATAGTCCTTTTTTTAGTTAGTTAACTATTAGTTTCTCCGTGTAAGTGCAGAAAATCTCAGGAGTAATAATTTACTCTCTTTGCACTTACGATCATTACGCAAACAAATGAATTCTTTTATCAAGTTTTATTTCTTTGCTTGGTAGTGTAGAGAACAGGTCATAATAGAAATGTTAAAATATTCTAAGCTTGCTATTTTTCTGTTTCAGCTGCTGCGCCTTTGAACCAAGAAGGTGAAGTTATCTACAAAGACTGGGTATTCATAAACTATACATTTAAAAGGTTCGAGGGTCTGACGCAGCGAGGGACTCCAACAAAGAAATAATTTCAGGAACCTCTTAAAATTGCATAATAACAACCACCACTGCCTGACACTATTTCTTTCACTGAGCAGGATAACTAATATAGACTTCTATTTTTGTTTCGCTAGGGAAAAACACAAATTTATAAAAAATGGCAATTGAATAAAAAATGAATCATCGCATTATTTTGTTAATATAATAAGAGAATGTGGAAAAGTATATTTATGATTCTTGAAAATTAGTCACTAATCCTGGGAACGTGATGGTATCCGAACAGGAAAAAGAATCATAGATTTTATACATTTTTTCTTCTCTTGAGTTGTTCTGTTCTATTTTGTTTTTGTTTTCTATTTTGCTTCGTTCTGTCTGTGTTTCTTTTTCTCTCACAACTTGTTTCAATGCAGAGTTCCAATCCCCCTCTTTTCATATCTCATCCATTGTACATTATCGTCGTATCTCATTGCGTATCAAGACTACTCAAAATTTTTTTAGAATCGATTTATTTTTTAAAAGAAAAATATGTACACATAAATTTATATTTTTTAGCGCCTGTAACAAAATATTAAGATATTTTTCTAGCTGTGAAACAATTATCAGAATTGAAAGCTTTACTCATGCTAAGTAGTTATTCTTTTTCAATTACATCTTCTTTTATTTTCATCGGCAAACATTCGTCTCTCTGAATTTTCATCATTTTCTTGGTTAGTCAAACTTAACCACTTTTAGTTGAAATCAATGTCCTCACCTTCTTGATCCAAGTTTTACTTCTGCCGTCTTATATCAATCATAGTTGTTCAATCAATTTTAGAATTTCACTCAATTTTAAACATATCACAACATGGCAAAAGTGTAGGATTTAATCTTGGACTTCCAAGCATTTAAAGGAACAGTTCTCTGTCATAAAATTTCCTTTCAGTGTGTCATGAAATTACTCAGAAGTAAGTTAGGAAGTCTTCCTTTGTTCGGAACTCCTGTTTCTTTTTTACCAAGAATCGATAAGCTCATGTAGCACCAACAGGAAGGGGACTAAATATATGTTCAGCCAGTATTTCTGTATTTATCCTTGCACCCATCATTAATAAAATAGGTTACCTCCTTAGTTGATTGCACCTTACAGAGGAAACATTTTTGCATTATCGCTCTTTTAGTGTTGAGCACGCCTGATGTTACAATTTTTAACAATATTCAACTCTCTTTTTGAAGATCTGATTTATTTTAAGAGGCAATGGTATGCAGTTGGCTTAGTCTGTTAATTCAGTCTTAGTTTTCATCTGTTAAATGCAAGAGCAAATAAACCCTCTGTTCAAATAAATATCCTTAGAAAAAAATATTTCTTTCGCTTGTCACAGCAAAGTTTTTGAATAGACTTTCACTCCATTACATTTACCTATATCTTCCAATATTTATGAACTCACTTTATCAAGCTTTTTGCCCATATTCTACTTCCCTTGCTTTGGCCACGTTGTTGAGGTTTCAAGGCAGCAAGTTTTTTCTTATTTTTCTATTTGTAATAACCTAAATTTTCAATAGGTATGTATTGCTAGCCGAAACGGTCCTTTTTAGTGTGCCTACAGACTTAGTTTTTCAATCCATCAGCTTGTTATTCTATTCTTCTCGATTAAATAACTTATTTTCTAACCGCACAAAAACTGCAAGAGGTTCGTTCTCATGCTTTCTTGGAGAACTTGAGACTCTTCATTTTAGATGTTTCTTGAAAGTAGAAAAAATTGTTAGAAAACAAACGGAAGAAGGATCCATGAGGAGAGAGCTGCCTGTTTGATTTTGTAGTGGACTTACGCCACTATTATCCATGTAATTTCTGAATCAGTTCAAGTATGTTTGTACTATTTTCTTTTTATGACAAGTTAGTCAGCAGTATGTGTGATTACTTTGAACTGTTGGACCTGGGTGTCTGCTGGACTGGAAAGTAAGAGTATGTGTCAATTTAAATGAATGAATTACATTTTTTCTCCCTCTTCTTGAAGTGCAAAAAGTACGAAACATATGTGTTTGTTATTTCGTAACAGGTCGTCGTGAAAATATAATTTTCAGGGCCTGATGTACAATATTTATGTGGTCTCTTTTTCCGTCTTTTAGAATAGCTTTGCTTTTTTTAAAAAAAATATGTATCCTATCTTAATTTTCCCTAGGAACTCTGCATAACTCTTAATCTTGTTGTCAATGAATTTCCTCCGCTTGGGATCAGTTCTTTTGTTTCTTGTGACAAAAACCTTTATTAGTCTCCCATTTTCTTTTCAATTTTCTGCTGGACTATGTTGTCAACTGGAAAAAAGAACTTCAAAACTGTTACTGAAAACCTTAAAAATGTTTTTGCATTTAAGAATCCCGTACCCCGTTTTAGATGTCTCATCTAAGTTTGTTGTCTATTTATATCACTTGGTTTTCTTATTGATTTCATCTTTTCGGTGTCCCTAAAGCTCCTCACTTAATTTCAAATTCCATCATGTACCATGTAATTAAATATTGTAAAAAATTTTTCCTTTCCTGTCTCCTTGTTTCGTGTTCACCGTATCATGATTGAATGTAGAAACTCTAATTTACTTGTCCTTTGGTAATGTGGTAATAGGATTTTACGCTGAATGACTTGTTGTGATCAATTGATTCTGGAAAATCTCAAAAAAACCTCTTTTAATTTATTTTAATTACGTTTTGAATTAATAACATTCAATTTTATTTGTTTTATCTAGGAAATATCTCATTGTATGTAGAATCATTATTCACGTGTATAAATATTAATGCTACTGGCAATTATTGTTGAAAATAATGATAGTGATTAATTTAATTCTCTTTTTTTATCATTTAGTATTGTTTGTTTATGAAATGAATGAATAAAGAAATAATTCAAAATTGAAAACTTATGTTCAATGCTATTTGTCTCAACTCTCAGGCCATACAATGGAACAGCGTGAGAAAAACTTGGAATGGTTTCATCATGTTATGGTGATCCTCTATGTTCAATTAAAAGGATTTTGATAATTGCTTAATTTTGTATTTTTTCTGTCTCCTGCTTGACGATCTGAATGCCGTACATATTTCTACGAATAGAAAATCTTCACTTCTTTTGTTTTCAATGGGTTTCAGGAAGATCGAAAACATGCCATAAAAAATTTGGATGTACTGCACCAAGATAGGAACTTATTTCTTAAAAATTTCCTATCCTACGAGAAAGCTGAGATGGGGCATCTTGAGTAGACTGTATTCAAGAGCATGTAAGACTTCTCTGCGCCTAAGCTGAATAATGTGTATTGACAGTGAAATAGCAGGAATGCTTCCTCATTTTTGTTGTTTCAAAATCGTCTCTCCCTTCATATTTGATTAATGGAGAACAAACCAACCCTATTGCTTGAAATTTTCATTGAATATTCTTAAAGAGGACAACCGTCAGGAAAATTTTGAAGAAATGATTAATATTAGAGTATTTTTTTACTTTGAAAGGTAACGTATGACAGAAAGTCTGTAATTTTGCAAACCAAGAGACACACTCTTGCAGTTTCACCTTTGATATATGTATTTTGAGACTGTATCTGTAATTGCAAGTTTTTAAGGTTTGAGAAAATCGTGTTTGAATTTTCAAAATCACTGCTCTATGACATATTTGAGACAGTGAGGGTCTAGCTTAAGGGTTTATTATAGAATTCTCTAAAAGGTGATTTTTAGAAATCTAAAATCAAAGCAATAATTGAGGGGCTCGGAGGACAAGGCACATAAGTGCAGTTTTTGAAAAATTGAGGTATTGATGATTTCAAGTAAGACTAGTCTCAATGCATATTATGTGGAAAATTTGCTCAAAAATTCCAATTTTCAAGCATCAAAAAGTCAGTTCAAACTTTCTTTCTGCCTTAAGGATCCATTTGATTTCGGAACTTCAAACATGTATTTCTCGAAATATCAAAAACTGAACTTATAAGCACTATACCCCAAGCCCCTCAATTGTTAATGAGTCACAGTGGATTTAAAAAAAAAGCTACACGTGCTGTTTTCACAGGGAACTGTTTCCTTGTGTGTGCATTAAACTAAGTCTTGAGGTACTTTAATGGAGGTGAAATGATAGATTTCAATAAAAATCAAGATATTCTCTAGTCCTCCAATAAGTTTAAGTAAAAAACGTAGCCTTTGGTACCTTTCAAGACAATTAAGAACAAATTATTAAATCAGACTTATGGAATCGATATTAATTAAATACTTAACGTTTTACTGATCGACAATAAAAATTGAGAAAGTGGTCATACCACAGTAATGTAATTCAGTGATGGCGAGGACAAGCAGCAAATCAATGAAAATTCTGAAAGTTCCACTTTAATTCTTGTAGCCGCTTTTTCATGTATAATTCGACCTACCCTCACTTAAATTCATATCTGACTGAAAAAATTTTACAAAAAATCTGGAACTTTGCACGAACATTCACTTGGTAGGTACATTCAAAACTGTAAGTCCCTTCAAGAAATAAAAAATAGCATTAGGTACCTGTAAAAATGGCAGTAGTCGACGTCCACCACTGTTATGGATATGGTCTTTCTCTGCCCCCAGAGGCTTCTCTGATAAGGCAGTGGGGGAGGGGGGACTGAATTCGTAGGTAATTTTAACCAGTGCGGGGTCCTTCCTGGCCCCGTACCCATCATCAGAGAAAACTCTAGAGGCAACGGAACTCTCAAATTCGAATTCATCTTTTTCCAAGCCTCTACGTCAATTTAAGGGCCCTTGTATTTTTTGAAGGGGGCTCTGACCCCCATCTTTAGGGGTCAGTATTTTAGACAAAGATGGGCCAAATTTGGATTTCTCGGCGTTCATTTAGGTAACAAGGTATCACATTAGGATGGAATAAAAATCGACAGGTGTTACCTACGTGGACTAAATTTTCAGGTTCAAAGTCGAAAGTTCTCCGATCGAGTTAAAATGATATCGGGTTCATTGGAGCTCACAACTGGCGAACAAGCAAGTGAATCCCCGAAAACGGTCAAAAACACTCGTCTTTCGGCTCAAGAGTCTCGAGACCAGGCGCAATCGATTCTATGCCTCAAAATTCGTCGTTTTCCCACCAGAAGATAGTTTAAATAATTAAACGAAACGACGTTTTCTTCTTTATTTTTTTCTTAAAAAAAAAAAAAGAATAGAAAATTAATACGAAGAAAATAAACACCAAAAAAGAAAAGAAGAACATTGGAGATCTTGAAATATCGCAATCAAAAGAAATATGTTTCAACTTTGACCATCGATATGTTCTATAGTTAAACTTCATTTTTTTTCTCGATTCTTTCCAAAGCAAATTACGTCACACCTCGACATCGGATGTGATTTTTAACTGATAACATGGCTCCCCAGAAAACGTAACTTTCGTGTCAATGCCACTTTTCAATTGACAAGTTTCATAAATTTCGATCGAAGTAGTTCGTTTTCTACACTTTTACTTTTCAAGTTTTCGTCAGAATGGATCCTCATTTGAGCGCTGTCGTCCTTTACTTCCTGGTTGGTCTTGTTACGGAGGTAAGTCTGTGCATGACAGTCCTTTTTCAAGCAAAAGTAATTCTTAAAGGGTTCCAGATAAAAAGTAAAACCTTACACATTAATGCGTCTCTAGAATGAGAGGTTTTACGAGAAGCTGCTTTACTTTAAAATGCTGGTCAGGGCCGGTTAAGGGGGTAGCCACATGGGCCGCGGCCCATGGCGGCAAAATTAGGAGGCGGCAAATTTTGCAATTTTTTTAAATGCAGGTACAAAAAAAATCGGATTCAGAAATAAATTACAAACAAGAAAAGGTGACGAAATCTCTCATTTCCTGAGAGTTCATTAATTTCTAATTTTGTCGTATTTCGGTGACACAAAAGACTGCGCACCTTTAATTAGTTGAGTCAAGAGAGAAACCAAACACGTAATTTGGCCTGGAGCGGCGCGGCGCAAAGAGAAATGATGACGAGGACTTGAGATGAAAAGGAGAAGCCCTCGACGCGGCGGTCGGCATTTAACACATACTAGCGCCCACGAGACTGCATGAATACTTCACGCATTGCGTCAAACACAGTACGGTCGACAGCGGTCGGCGCGGCGCGAAACGCACAGTGCCTACAAGACTACATGAATACTTCACGCATTGCGCCAAATACAGTGTGGTTAGCGCGGCACGGCGGCGGAAGTTAAAATTATTAAACCACATTTATGTTTGTTCTTTCTTAATTTTTTAGTTCATTTCTTACAAATGAAAGGCCTTGTCCCCACAGAGATAGGTTTACGGAACTGAACTTTCGCGCGGAGTTCCGTGAACTTTTGCTAGTAGTGTTGACAGGGCTTACGCAAAAAATGTGTCTAACACGAGTGAACGCGTTTTATGCACCCTGCTCCCTCCGGAACGTTCACTTGATGGTTTTTATTGATGTTTCGAAATGAATGAGAAGAGGGCGGCAAAATACAGGCGGCCCATGGGCGGCAAGTAAGTAAATCCGGCTATGATGCTGGTACCTTTCATCAACCCTCACTGAAATAGCTAATTAAAATACGCGCTTCCCATGATCTCTAAATACCTCCATCACCATATCTGTATCTTATATCGTTCGTCTACGTCTAGTATGAGGATTCGGCTTGGAGGAGCATTTTATGAAAATTCGGACTGAAAAAACTCCCAGAAATATCAAGCTAACCAGTGAGAGGTCAGTCCAAAGTTTAAGATACGGAGTTTTAAGAAAAAGCTGTTCAAAGTTTTAATCTGCCCTACTGGGTTCAAAATTGTTCGAATTCGAGTGTAATTTCACGTCCTCTCGCCATCGCGCCTTCAATTTTGCCGATGCAACACGAACATCCATCAAGCACGAATAGTTGTATCTCTGCGCCGTCATCAACGCGCGTTGAGGTGTCTCGTGTCAAAAACAAAGAAAGAAACTAAATTAACTAATTAAATAAAACTATTCTGTTTTTCAGAATTCATACGGATAACAACTGGACAATTCCTTTATAATGATAAAATAGTGAGGAAACTTATTCTACATTACATGAGACACCTCAACGCGCGTTGATGACGGCGCAGAGATACAACTATTCGTGCTTGATGGATGTCCGTGTTCCATCGGCAAAATTGAAGGCGCGATAGCGTGAGAAATGAACTTGCAATGCTCCGCTCCATGCTGCTAATAAGGGGTCGCTTCGATTTGGGAGAAAAATAATTAAAGATCGAGGCCGGAACATCTTTCCTATCCTCGGCTGTGTTACCCACGTATCTCTTGAGGCTCGACTACTAATAAGATAAAGGGAAACAAATACAATATGAAAATAGAGCAGCGGAAATACATAGAGCACATCGAGTTGTAATGTAAATGGGAGAGCTGGCGCCACTTTTAAGCACTTTCCAGGGCCCGAATTCCGAAACTCCTGTGTTACGCCGGGTCACTTTTTCGATACATAATCAATTATTTTTGATACACGGGTATCCAGCCATCTGATGTAAACAAAGAGGATAGGAATTACTACGTATTCTACATCGCCATTTTGGATCGGAAATGTATCGAAAATGTGACCGAAGCTCAGCGCACAACGGGCTTGGAATTTGTCGACCAGAACATGGCGCCAGCTCTCCCATTTACATTACGACTCTATGTGCTCTATGGGGAAATAGCGCGCGTCGATGACGGCGCAGAGATACAACTATTCGTACCTGATGGATGTCCGTGTTGCATCGGCAAAATTGAAGGCGCGATGGCGTGAGGCGTAAACTCGCAATGCTCCATTCTAAGTTGCCAATGAGGTGTCGCTGCTTCTGTCGCTGTGTCTGATTCTTTGTTTGTTTGTTTTCTTTAATCGTACCAAGTTTTAAAGACAGCTTTGACTCGATGATGAAGGATTTTGCTTTTAGCTAAAAGGCGAGCGAGCAAAAATATCGGACGGGGACTCGCTTGATATGGACTGTGATTTGAATAAGTTGAGTACCGAAGAGCTGAGAAGTTATGGAGACATCTTATACTTGCGATTGGCAAAGGCAGAAGGTGCTACAGAGGTGGTTGGTTTTCTCAGGGAGCATTTCAAAGGACGCAAGGTACGACAACCATTCCGATGGCAAAATTTTGAGCACATGCAACTCAACTACAGTGGTTTCTAAATCTTCGTTCATATTTCATTCTTTTTTAAAAAAAATAAGGAATATTACGACTTCAAATATTTACGATATAATATCTTGGTAGGAAAGAGCAAAGTCAAAGAGAATTTCAAGTAGTAGTAACGAGTTATTTCTCCTTTCTAAAATGATGGCGAAAATTGACTACGTCACAATTTGAAATGCGTCCACCTAGAATCTATCCAATGTTTCTGCAGATTGATCGATACAAGGACCTATCCTCAATTTTGACATCCTCCTCCTGCCACAAGAAATTTAGATGTAAGCGATTAGCACCGGAAAGATAAACTTTCGGTTTCACGTCTTTTGATGCCATTTTTTGTGCACTTCGAAACCATTTCGGAGAAATTAATGCCTATCCTAACATCTCAGTAAAATTTACGGATATGGGGTTTTAAAAAATATCCACTAAATTTGACTTCTAAAATACTTTAAATGATATCATACCGCTGTATGCTTACGAGATTATATTTCTCTGATGCTTTATAGGAGGCCCTTACTTTGGCTGATGTAAGGTTCGCTTTCGCCGAGTTGTCAAACAAATTCATCGACCCAGCACTAAAAACAAGAGATCGGTTGAATGCTTTGAACGCCCTCTGGATGGAACGAGTCAACGCCACCAACACTACGCCAAAATAAGTCGTGTAGATGGTAAAATGTAAAAATTCTGTGTATTAAGCTGGGAAAACTGAAGCATAATTAGTCATAAGGACACAGTGGTCTTGAAGCAAAAAAATTATTACGAAAATGTACCCAATAACGGATTGCAGGGGGTGAATCTATGGTACGTTTAGACTTAAAATCGAAAAAAATAAAAAACTTGGCTGATCCTGTCTTTGCGATATCACAATTGGATTGTATATGCAAGTTTTCTATCTACTGATTTTGATCCGGTTTATTATTTATTTGTCCATTGAATCGGTGTCAATCGGTTCTCGTCGATTGACTTACGTTTTTATTTTTCGTTCGATTGATGTCAATCGAATACATACTCTTTGCATGCAGGAATCCCATCATACTCTTTTTTTTAACTGAACGAGTCGTTTTCTGCTGTGTCTGCAGTAATTGTTGTCACGAATATGTTGTGTTTGCTGATTTCAGCTCATTACATACTTGACTTTCTAAAAGCGCTCTATGTGCGATACAGCAATGCGCCTTCGGCTACGTCTCCAGCAATTGCTATTACGAATATGCTGTGCGTGCTGATTTTAGCTCATTACATACTCGACTCTCTGAAGGCGTTTTATGTGCGCGAGTAGCGCAATCCGTTGGAGAAGAAACGAAGTAGGGATTGTGGGATGTATTCGATTCAGTTCTATTTTTCTCCAAGAGGGTGCTCTACTCTCGCATATAAAACGCCTTCAGAGAGTTAAGTATGTAATGAGTTGAGATCAGCACGCAAAACATATACGGAACAACAATTGCTCCAGACGCAGCTGAAGGCGAATTGAAAACAACCGTATACATGTTGAAAAACATTTTAGCTCCTTAAGTAATAATACCAATAGAGAGTTATATTTAATGGTATTTTCATGGGGGATAAATGTACCGTGCTACAAAGTTTTGGACTGAAGAAGCATCAACACCATAATGGTCTTGACGCCAAAAAAAAAAAAAAAAAAACATGCGACAAAATGTATCCGAAAAGTTGAGGAACGGCTATCAATACGGCCGTCCTAAGGTAAAACGCCGTATAAACCCTTAGCTGTTGCCAAGTATCATTTGATAAAACACAAATTCCCTCGAAAACTTGTGAATATTATCCTTTCGATTTTACAGTAACTTTGTTCACAATTTCACCCCAAGTTCCTGAAATTTTTAGGAGAAACATCCATAATTTTCCTCAAAAATAAATATTTTGTCGAAGGAATGGCAACTCTCGGATGTTCATACGGCGTCCTTCTTTAGCACGGCAGAATACGGCTTTTAAGCCTAAGCCCCCCCCCCCCCCCCCCCCNGTACTAAAAGATAAATTAAAAATTAGTCCAAGATAACGTGAAAAAGTAAAGGGATCCCACCTGAACTGCCTTGCTGAGGAAGAACGCCGTATGAACCTTCGAGAGTCGCCAAATTTTCCTTGATAAGATATGTATTTTTGAGATCCTTCATGCGTATTTTTCCTTGAAATTTTCAGATATTTGGACGTATTTCTACCAAACAGACATATGTGGAGGTGAGAATTATGGGGTGTGCTCGTGGAAGCTGCATAAGAAGCAATGTAAAAGTGTGCGTGATTCCTTTTGAAGAATTGGAAAAGCGGGATATTGCATTCCACCAAACAGACCTATGTGCCAACTGAATGCGGAATTCATGAGCCGCGAGGATGGGACGAGAGCGTTGTGGACAGGGCTCATGAGTTAATGACACCCCGCGGGGATCTCCCCTGTGCGCCCGGTCTCGTTTGTTGCCGCTGACGTCACTGGCGCTTTATTATTCTCATTCACTCTTACGCAAAGAGAACTAACGAGCACACCCCATATTTCTCACTTGCACATAGGTCTGTTTGGTAGAAATACGTCCATTTTAGATTAAATTGCGTACAAAATTGTCTGAAAATTTTGAAAAATAATATTCGCGATTTCCCCAGTAGATCCGCTTTTTATCGGAGGAAACTTGGCAACGTCTGAAGGCTCATACGGCGTTTTTCCTCAGCACGGCAGTGAAGTTGAGGGAAGCTGGGCCGGGGGTCGGGGGCCGCAGAACCCTCCGATTAATTTTGATCGGCGAGGGGTTTCCACCCGCCTCGCGTTAGAAACCCCTGAAAGTGGGCCCGGATCCCCCGCGGGGGGTGGGGAGGCAGGGGGTGGATTTGGGAGCGATTTGGCGGGCTGGAGGCCGGGCCGGCGCAGTGAGGGCGCGGGCGAATCGATGGCTGCACGGCGCGGCGCGGCGGCCGCCTCGGCCGGGACTCGGCAGTTGCAGCGGGTGGTCCGGGCCTGCCCTAGCCGCGGACTCATGGAGACCGTCACGACACCAACCCCGCAATCGCCACAACCCTCCAGCCCCAAATCTTGCACTTTCATCAGGTAAATACTCGGAAATACTCGTAACCTACTCGCATCGGAGTGTCTGAAATTTTGTAATTGTCATGTTTGAAATGAATCTTCCAAGAGAACTGAACACGAGAATATATCCTTGGTTTGTAAATTGACAAATGAGAAACAAGGAGTAATCGCGGAGACAAGGCTAATAAATAGCAGTAAAAACAAACGCAGGATGTTTCGACGGCTTACGGTGTCATTTTTAACTGCTGAAAGAAGAGAAAGATCTTACATAATTAAAATCAAAATTATGTTAAAAAACCTCGGTAATTACATGGTGATATCACATTGAGGAATTATTGGAGGATATATGACAAAATAACCGAATCTGCTAAAATGCATGTGTTTAAATGGGATAGTTCGCCAGAGGACGTCGTCAAAAGGCGGTTCATTTTCTCGCTTTTAAATCTATTTTCCTACAATTTCCAATTTTAGAGAAAAATTACGAATAATGCTGCAAATTCAGCCTACTACATACTCTCAGATGAAGCAATACAATTTTTGTGTGCAATTCTCTGTTGCTTGTAATATACTCGGAAGTACACATTATACCCACCCTCGAAGATACTTGCGCTCGGTAGTACTTTCAATGTAATCGTGAATACTCGTAATGCACCTGCAGTACTCTCAGTATACTCAGGAGCACTAGTGATGGTGAAAGTCCCAAACCACCTTAGTGGGTGTTTTAAAACCTCCGCTCCCATTTTATTGTTTTGAAGGAGAACAAATCAACACCATTTCTTGAATTTTTCACAGAATTTCCTTCGCACCGTGAGGAAACATCACGGAAGTTTTGAAGTTTTGACGTTAAGTAGTTTTTAATTTTAAAAAACGAAATATGACAGAAAGTCTACAACTTCGTAAAGCGAGGTACATAATTTGGACGACATTTTGCAATTTGGAACTATAAATTCTGGCCCGGTTTAAAAACAACGTATGTGCCTTCAGTTTCCCTATGCACATAAGTGTTTTTTCAGATGAGCCAGAATTTATAGTTCCAAATTGCAAAATGCAGTCCATTTAGAGGTTTCACCGTCCGTCGTCAGAGTACACTTGAAAATTATCGTGATGTGCTCGGGAATTCTCGTGAAATATACTCGGAAATGCACTATAGTGTCATACTTGGAGATACTCGTAAAATACTTGATAGTATTTGTATGTGCAAATACTCGTAATTTTCTTGAAAATGCTGATAGTTATCGCGAAAGCACCCGTAATTTTTTCAAGAATTCCCCCAGAAAATTCGGATGTACTTGTAATATGGTTACACATGTAAGTACATGTAAACACATGAGGGATGCGGATGCCGTCTTTTGCTTCAGGTGGGAATGTTTTCCGGGAATTTCAGCTAGAGCAGGGAACAAAATTAAGGACTCAAAGGGTAGTTCTCGAGAATGCTATTTCCTCTATAAAGAATGAGGATGGTGAAACTACGAAACCACGTATCTTGACGGTTTGTGACGTCACGTTTTCCGCTTTTGAGGGTTCAGTGCTCGTGACTTGTCTCAGTCGCAAATTAACGCCACCAGGTAAAAACACCTGAACCTTTGTGCCAAGGGCCTTTAAAGTCCTGTAGATACGAGTTTATCCAAAATTTCCTTCGAGGATAGATTTCCTATGCTTGGTGATACCCAATTAGGCTATAGAATAGAAGCTGGCGTTTATCTTTAAAAAGGAGGGCGGTTTGCCGTTTGGATTTTGACTAGGGATCAGCCTCATTTCGCGTCATCGTTAAAGCTTTGTCAGAAATAAATATAAAAGGATGTTGGAGATGTCAGAAATGAAGAAGAGATGGTGTTACAGGATTTGGACGGTTTCTCAAGTTGCTTTTTACCCTGCAAGATTTTTTTATGTGCGAGGGGTGTATTTGCGAGGTATTCTCCGTTGCTAAAATAATTAAACACGAGAGAGATAATTTCGCAATGTGAAAGGCATTTGCAGGAACTATTCTAGAACTAAGGATTGGATAAAAGGGTAGTTCGCTCCTATCTCAGATTTTGTAAGGTCGAACAATACTTATCTCGAACTGCAATGTTGACGTTCTCATGACGTTTCCTATTTGAAAAAAGTGCATAGTTTTTTTTGAAATTTGTATCGACTTTCCTAATTTGAAACAAGATATTCTGTGAAAATCTCAAACAAAAGAATTCTTTCGTCATTCTTTAAAGATCCATAAAAAAACATAAAGTTCCTGAAACTTCTTGGTGAAGGTAGGTCTTTTTGACGTCCACCATCGATAAGTAATACTATCAGTAAAGTCTCCCTCCCCGCAACCTCACCGATGTATCCTGCTGTGATAAGGAAAAACGTCGGATAATCATTCGAGAGTTGCCAAATGTCTTTAGATAAAACATGTATTTTTGAGGAAATTTATTAATATTTTTTGTTTGAAATTTTCAGATATTTTAGATCAAATTGCGAACAAAATTATCTGAAAAATTTAAAGAAAAATGTTAGCAATGTTTCAAGGATATTCGGTTGTTATTGAAGTACACCTGGCAACGTCTAAAGGCTCGCACGCCGTTTTTCCTTAGCACGGCAGTATCCCAAGTTCACATTTTGATAAAGAAAATACCGCGCAACGCACTCAAGGAGGAAATACATTCTGAAAGGTATGCGATTCGTGACAGGAACTCATCCATCCCAATTCTTCTTTCACATTCTTCTTCAATTCTTTCTCACAATAAAGGCTTTTTCGTCTTCCTTCTGGTTTTAAAAGTGAATCCCTTTTTACGGTCGAATTCTGTAGTAGCGACTTCTAGAGTTATGGC